GCCGGAACACTCATCTTTGAACCACGCCCAGTTCATTGACGCACCAAGCTTTTGTTTGAACTTCAAATGTTTAAACAATTTCCCGCAACTATAAAAACAGTCCAACCAAGTGGGTTTTACAGCGAAACAATGTGGAGTCGCCTCGCTTTGGTTGCCATTTTCGGTGTTTGGTGCACTGTAAGTTTGGGCTGCGCCCCAGCCGCCATTTTTAACGGTTTCCTTCCAGACTGACGGGGAATGTCAGCCGAGTGATGGAGCGGCTGCGCCATCTAGGGTCCCCCAGACGATCAAAGCGAAGACATGGCAACGACCCCCCATCATCCTGCCTCTGAATAGCTACGCCCTTGACAAGGATGGAGCTAGGTAGGGTTTCTGCGTGACAAAGTGGGAGAGAGTTAGAGGGTGGGGCACTGTTTAGGACGCAGACTCTGGTGAGACCGGCAGTGTTGCCGCCCGCCGAAGGCTTCAACCCATTGTTGTCATCCAAGTCGAGAGGTCAACCCTCAAACTGGCAGGGCATTGACTTGTGCCAAACCGGAAACAGCGCGCCAGCGGCTGCAGATGCAGTCTCGTTAGCTGTGGCCTTCCGGCAGGCGCAGGAGCCGCGGGTGGGGGACGATCGGCTCTTCTACGGCTTCCGCACCCTTCCAGTGGAAAGTCCATGCGTCCAACCGGCGCAGCCGACCAAAAGCCCCCCTTCCCAAGACGAGAACATCTACGCCCTCAATGGGCAAATAGTGGAACTGCAGCCTAGTCAACAGAACGACGACCTTTCGGAGGAGGCTGTCAGCCAACTACTGGATTTGGGCCTATCAGAGGAGGCCTCCAGGCGCCCCCCCTCACTCCAAGGGCCGTCGCTGGCCGACCTGGGCTACAGCCCTGTGAGAGGTAATACTCCAGTCCGAGATTTGACAGATGACAGTGTGGAATGTCAGTTGTTTCAGCTAAGTTTGTGCCAGATGCCAACTGCGCCCAACCGCCCACGTTGCCTTCCGTCACTCCAGTGGCGTGCCTTGGAGGATTCCAGGCGGGCGCAGTGGCGTACAAGCCAGCCCAAGTGAAAATTCTCAGAAAAACACGCAAAGAACCGCAGAACTTGAGCGTGCTGGCCAGTCTTGAGCAGCGCACTGCATTGAATCGCAGTTCGTGATTTCCTGAGTTGAAGGAAAGTGATTGTGCAAAAAAACTGAAAAAACCGAGGGGGCGAAGCCCTTGAATAAATGTATAGAGATTGCGGGATTTTTGTTTATATCAAGCGGATTTTTTTTGGGCTTTGGATGGTGTGATCCCCACCCTAAAAGACGCCAATTCTAGGGAACATTTTAAAAACAACCTTTACCAATTGTAGGGACTTAAGCCCGTGTCTCATGCATCCGTTTGTACGATGATACAATGGTACGAAAGTGTTTCTATTGGTTGGAGATCTGTCAATTCGTCTGTCGTCGTACGACGTGGACGAATTGACAGATCTCCAACCAATAGAAACACTTTCGTACCATCGTATCATCGTACAAACGGATGCATGGGACATGGGCTTTAGGGTTAAGTTGTTATCAACAACTTGGAAAAAATGTTAAAATTTGGCACTGGAAACCCCCCGCCACTGCTATAAATCGCCCAATATGCACAAAACCTATACACAAATTGCCAATTAGCGAATTACTGCCTTGCTAAGCACTTTTCGTGCATGTAAGCGCCTAAATACAACCGAATGCTTTCAATGTACGACAACAACCCAAGTGGATTTGCTAAAGTGATTGCAAAAGCGGTTAAAAACTTGTAAAAAACGCACCATGTTTTTCGATTGCTGCCTGTATGGGGCCTTGATCACACTACTGGTGAGTGCGTTTCTTCATGGTGGAGGTGCAGCGTTTTAACCACTAAAAATTGCAGATTTTCAGAGTGGCCAGCAAAGTTTCAGAAGCCGATTCTTTTGACGAGTCCTTTGAAGAAAGCCCGATCTTGAGGTAACGCGCAACCCTACGATGTTCCACTACGAGATTCACTGGCCCCAAAGCACTCTTTCAGGCATTTTCCTCCAATTTCCTTTGCAGTTCCCACCAATTTGCTTAAAACTACAAATGTGTCAGGTTTAAATTAGTGTCACTGTCTCTTTAGCCACTTTGACAGTGCCTCAACCCGCAGTTCACCATCTCTTTCCCTTGCACGCGGTTAAACAAAGCATCCATGAGAAAAGTGGGCATTGAATAATAAATATTTTCAAAATTTTCATTTATTTTCCTGACTGCGGGTAATTGTTACTATATTCTTTTCCTTCTTGGGTTTCAGTCAAAGTGTGAAATACTGTTTTTATATAGTTAATTTCATAACGTTTCGGCGAGACAACAGCGCCATCATCAGATTCAAAATTCATACAAACTCATAATTGGTAAAYATTACATTCTTTTAGGTCTTTGCTGTCTTGAAACCTTAAATTTGTTCGAATTATTGCCTGCATTTGCCTRCGYAGGCAAATGCAGGCAATAATTCGAACAAATTTAAGGTTTCAAGACAGCAAAGACCTAAAAGAATGTAATRTTTACCAATTATGAGTTTGTATGAATTTTGAATCTGATGATGGCGCTGTTGTCTCGCCGAAACGTTATGAAATAAACAATCTACAAATTTTTATTTCACACTTTGCCTGAACCCCAGGACGGAAAAGAATATTTTTTTAATAAAAATTATGTTTTTTGTTTTAGCCCGGAATTAAAACGAGCACTTAAACCGACCGAAGACGCTCTTTTCAGCTTCATAAATCGGCTGGTTAACACGGGCTATTCGTCCTCAAAAATCGCTTTGAATCGGGTGGAAAAGGCCAGCAAAAGGCGCAAAGAGTTCGGCGAACGGCTGGAACAGTTCCTGGTGGAACTGTCCATGTACCAAAGCGGAGGCAGTGAAGAAGAGGAGGAAATAACTGAAAAACTGTGCAGATGAAGATCCAAACTTCGGCTTGCATGGCCATTGTTGCTGTGACGGTTTTAATCAATGTCGCTCTGTTCCTCACTGTATTTCAGCTTTTTAATGTTGCCCTGTACTTAATAAACATTTATGAGTATCTTGAGTAAAAATCCCTAGTCCAGTTCGGCAGGAACATACTATGTGGAAACTTGGCCCCCTCCTCCAAAACTCTCTTATCAACCGTCGAAGATAGCGGCCAAACGCGAGCGAAATGCCATCACTATTCACCCAGTTCTGCTTCCGCTCTAGACCATGGCTCTTAAACTGACGCTGATCTTCTTGGCAGCCATCGCTCTGTGCCAGGTAAGCCAAGGCTTCTTTCCAGCTTTTCCCAAAAAAATTGGACTAATTTTCAGCTGTTTTGCCTGCAAGGCGAAGCCAGCATAGTGCGCAGAGAGGCGCCCGCCACCACCGAAAAAAACGAGCTGGAAGAAGCCCTGAACTCCATCAGACAAGGTCTGGAGGAGTTCGTCAGCAAAGTGCAGGCAAGAGTTGGTTCCCAACTAGCGCCCACCAATCTGTAACGGTTTTCTCGTTTCAGACCAGCGAAGTGTACCAGAACGCCTCAAAACTGCTGGACGAGTTCGGCCAGAAGGTGAAGCAGCAAGGGGACCAATTGGTCCAGAAAATCAAGGACAACACTGCCACTAAGAACTGAACTTGTTTGTGTCTTTACCGATAATGTATGAATAAAACTGTCCCCTCACGATATACAGGGTGTTTTATTTCACATTGAAAATGGTAGGTATATAATTTTTCCACAATATATTTGTGGAAAAACGAACGATTTTTATAAAAACTGCATCCCGGAAAATTGCAATCGGCTAAGGTAGAAAAGACGATTTCCCGAACAAAATACTTGGAACTTTACCGCGATTGACTCGTTTCCAAATAGAACATTAGATTGTTTGCAAAGTGTATTTTCGACACATTCACTGTCTATAAGAAAATTTGTATTTGCAATTTGGAACAAAATGATGTAAAATTTTAGAGTTTTGGTACCAAATTTCTCTCTGGACGACGGCCGAAAAACCCTAAAAACTCCCAACTGCTCCAAAATCTTGATGAGCAACTCAATATAGTTGGCGTAGACATTTTTTCAATTTTTGCCTCGTTACAAACGGAAACATTTTTAGCCGCGGGTGCATCAAGTTGGAACATAGCAACGCGCAGGTCGGGTATCGCTCTGATAGACCTCCATGAGTGCGAGCGAGACAACCGATGCCAACTACGTTCGAGAATGGAAAAATCGCACTGCCCTAATTTGAAATAAATGTTGTATTGTTGGTTGCCGATTGCACTTGGAAAGATTTGCACTGTTTGCGAGAAAATTGATTTTGACTAAACCAGGGTAGCTGGAAATTGCCAGACTGTTGACCCGAGCTTTCGAAGGTATCTTCTTTGATTTTCCTGGGCTTATCAGGATCTTTTTTGGCATGGAAAAATTTCGGCCAAAAATGAAAATTTCACATGCGTGTTTTTTGAGCTCAATCGATTCTTTTCGACGTAAAAAGATCACAAATGTGCGCTTATAAAGTGTTTGGGTCAATAATAAGGAAGAAATCGTCGGCTAAAGATCCTGAGCGCTCAAAAAATGATGCAAAATTTAAGGCATTTTGCGAAAATTTCCATTTTTTCAAAAAATCTTGGAAAAATGTTGACCACAAATCAAAATTTTCATTTAATATGTAAAAAGTGTGGCGCTTGCAAAATACCTTTTTAGCGCTGAAAATGAAGCAAATCAAGTGCGTCTGACAACGTTTAATCACATCGTCCCTCTTAGTAGAAACATAATTCAGAAAATCAGTCAAAAGTCCATTAGTCTAGCTAATAATACAGTTGGTGCATGGACGCGCTCTAGGCTTTAGCGACGTTCTTGTCCAGTTCGCTCTTGAGCTGCTTGCCCAAGTCCGCTACTTCGTCCAGCAGCTTCTTGGCCAGGTCGGTCAAGTCGCTCTTCACCTCTGCAAGCAAACGCAAACGCCATCAGCCCCATTGGGCCAGCAGCTTCTGTATGTACTTACTGGTGGCTTCTGGTTCAGCAGCCTTGGCCAGCCGTTCAGCTTCAGCAACAGCCTTGTTCAGGCCTTCGTCCAGGTTGGCCTTCAGCTCTTTGGCCTTCTTCACGCCCTCTTGCCCGATCGCCTCCTCCAGCTTGGCGGCCGCCGTCGCCAAGTTGGCTTTGATCTGGGTAACTGCCTTCTCCACGTCTCCTTTATGTTCCTGCGCCTAAAATGGGCGGGGTTTCACTCAAAAGGCCTGTAGGCGCGCTCCTCAAGGTTCCACTTCTTACCTGTTTGTTCAGGTTGTCGACCACGTCTTTGACTTTAGCGGCGAGTTGTTGGGAGGTTTGAGTGAGGGTGTCCGACACCTGCTTGGAGTCCGGGAGGTTTCCTTCGATCACTGCGCTGACGTTGTGGATGATTTGACGCGCATTCACGGCCAGTTCGTCGATTTGGGACTTTTCCACCGCTGGTTTGGCTTTGGGCTTCGCCAGAACACCCTAAGAAAGGATTGATGTTCAACTTGGTCAACAGGAAGCTCCAGACATGCTGGTTGAATATGAATGACTCCGACGCGCTTGTATGTGCGTTGCTTGGATGGAATCGGCTAATTTGCATGGCCAAGTGCGGAAGCATTGTTGCAATGTTTATGCGATTAGTTTTATGGAGGCGGAGAAAGTTGCCCACATTGGCCCTGTGGGCTGAGCAAAGCCTGATCGGACTTTGCCCGTAATCTTCACAACTAATCAGTCCGATGTGTGTTTGGTCGAATTTTCTATATTTAAATCGGCAATTGGACCCGATTGCCCACTGGGGTCGAGATAACCGTGACCCCAACTGTGCCAATCAAAGTTAAAAATTGCGACGAAGTGGACGCAGAAAGATGATAATTAGAAAATCCACTCACCTGAAGAGCCACCAGGGCAACAACAGCAACGACAGCGAACTTGTACATGTTGAGGAGGAGGATGGAGCGACTTCGGATGAGCAAACTGCGACAGCCACCAATTGACTAAGTGGTGGCATTGATAAATGTGGGGCTTTTATAGTGCGCGGTGCCATGCTGGAGGTTCTTTGTGGGGGATTTCGGGCCACCCTTGCCCCCTGCCCTGATAAGGGAGATCCGTGTCCTGGCGGACTGTAAATATTTTCGGTTTTCCGATTGCCATGAATCAGCGCACGTAGTTTGTCCAATGAATTTGCGCTTGAGGTCTTTGACAATTGTTCAAATTGATCAATTTTGCATGAGTGGAGAGCATAACGTTCTATCGGGAACGCTGATGATGAGATCGGTTCGAAACTTGCACGGTTAAACTAGCAAAGGTGCAAGTGTTTCGGTTTTTGAGCCATTAATTGTGCAAAAGTGGCGGCCGGACAAAGTTGAAAATTCTGAAAGAAATGCCTGATGATAGTTGCTTGAAACTAGCAGAGTGCATAGAATATGCGCGCTCGTTCCATTGAGGCCTGCGGCAGGTTTTTTGATTTTCCCGTGTTTTTCGCAAATGAAGGCGAAAAACTGACCTACCAAAGCAGCCGAAAAAAGTCACTTTCTTCCAAAATTCCTCACATTAAGCCTGATGATGGGGTCGAAACAAAAATCTCACTGTTTATAAACGAAACAGCAGACTTTCCAATGGCGCAATGTACGAAAGCTCGACTTTTTTCGTTTTTAAGCAATTAATTGCGGAAAATTGACTTGCAAAGATGGGCGCACAACGTCGCTTCGCTTTCAAATTTCTGAAAAAAGCCTAATGATGGCGTGAGCCAAAAAATAGCAGGATTTTTAGAATGCGTTTCGGTCTTTTCAATGGAAAATTCGGCAGCTTTCCTGATTTTTTTATTTGGCCGCAATAAAGTGCGGAAAACTGACCGACAAAGGTCACTTTCTTCCAAAATTCTTCACATTAAGCCTGATGATGGCGTCGAAACAAAAATCTCACCGTTTATAAACGAAACAGCAGTATTTCCAATGGCGCAATGTACGAAAGCTCGACATTTTTCGTTTTTAACCAATCAATTGCGGAAAACTGACTTGCAAAGATCCCGCTTTCAAATTGCTGAAAAAAGAGCCCGAGGATGGCGTGAGCCAAAAAATAGCAGGATTCTTAGAATACGCTTCGGTCTTTTCAATGAAAAATTCGGCAGGTTTCCTGATTTTTGTATTTGGCCGCAATAAAGTGCGGAAAACTGACCGATAAAAGCAGCCGAAAAAAGTCACTTTCTTTCAAAATTCCTACCAATAAGCCTGATGATGGCTTCGTAACAAAAGTCTCACCGTTTATAAACGAAGCAGCAGCCTTTCCAACGGCGCAATGTACGAAAGCTCGACTTTTTTCGTTTTTAAGCAATTAATTGCGGAAAACTGACTTGCAAAGTTGGGCGCACAACGTCGCTTCGCTTTCAAATTGCTGAAAAAAGAGCCTGATGATGGCGTGGGCCAAAAAATAGCAGGATTTCTAGAATGCGTTTCGGTCTTTTCAATGGAAAATTCGGCAGGTTTCCTGATTTTTTCATTTGGCCGCAATAAAGTGCGGAAAACTGACCGACAAAAGTTGCCGAAAAAATCACTTTCCTTTAAAATTCCTACCAATAAGCCTGATGATGGCTTCGAAACAAAAATCTCACCGTTTATAAACGAAGCAGCAGTCTTTCCAATGGCGCAATGTACGAAAGCTCGACTTTTTTCGTTTTTAAGCAATTAATTGAGGAACACTGACTTGCAAAGAAAGGCGCACAACGTTACTTCGCTTTCAAATTTCCGAAAAAAGAGCCTGATGATGGCGTGAGCCAAAAAATAGCAGAATTCCTAGAGTGCGCTGCGGTTTTTTCAATGAACAATTCGGCAGGTTTTGTGATTTTTTTATTTGGCCGCAATAAAGTGCTGAAAACTGCCCGACAAAAGCAGCCGAAAAAAGTCACTTTCTTTCAAAATTCCTAGCATTAAGCCTGATGATGGCGTCGAAACAAAAATCTCACCGTTTATAAACCAAACAGCAGCCTTTCCAACGGCGCAATGTACGAAAGCTCGACTTTTTTGTTTTTAAGCAATTAATTGCGGAAAATTGACTTGCAAAGTTGGGCGCACAACGTCGCTTCCCTTTCAAATTTCTCAAAAAAGCCTGATGATGGCGTGAGCTAAAAAATAGCAGGATTCTTAGCATGCGCTTCGGTCTTTTCAGTGGAAAGTGCGGCAGGTTTCCTGATTATTTTATTTGGCCGCAATAAAGTGCGGAAAACTGACCGACAAAAGCAGCCGAAAAAAGTTACTTTCTTCCAAAATTCCTCACATTAATCCTGATGATGGCGTCGAAACAAAAATTTCACCGTTTATAAACGAAACAGCAGCCTTTCCAACGGCGCAATGTGCGTAAGCTCGACTTTTTTCGTTTTCAGCAATCAATGTGTCGAAAATGCCCCCCAATAAGCGCCCTGATTGAGATGCTTTTTTGGGTTTTCTCAATAAATTTTGCGCTTTCGCTTGGCGACGTTCAGGAGCCCGTCGCATAATTCCAATCAATCACTATTTGTTCAGTAGCCAGAAAATAATCGCTTCAAGTTGTTTGCCGAACACGAATTCTTGACCTCATATCGGGACCCTTAGCCGCTAATCATTCCGAGACATGTTTATGGGGCAAACCAACTAAGTATTAGGATAACAGCGACCCTGATGTACTTTTATGTTCGGGATCGAGACGAAACCACTCGCTTTTATCTATAAAAAGCCTCTAAAAGCCCTACTGTGAGCAGCCACACACACACCGAACATGGATTAGGTGTCCGGTTTTGATGGGTTCTGATAGGTCGGTGTGGCGCCCACTTTTTAATGTTCTGGTCTAGGATAGATTGGACAGAAATCTTAATTTGCTTCTTCACCTCGGGTTGCTTTTAAGGAAAAAGAGTGCAAATCGGCAATTTTTTATTATGTACACATTTCTACAAGTACACTAAAAATAATTGCAAAAGTGTCCATAAGACCAAACTGGTATAAGTTAAGTGTTTCTATTATATTTTGTCTTTTCTGGGTTTCAGGCAAAATGTGAAATAGAAATGTTCATATCGTTTATTTCATATAACGTTTCGGCGAGACAACAGCGCCATCATCAGATTAAAATTCAAAACAAACCCATAATTGGGAAACATTTGATTCTTTWTAGGCYTRYARGCCTAWAAAGAATCAAATGTTTCCCAATTATGGGTTTGTTTTGAATTTTAATCTGATGATGGCGCTGTTGTCTCGCCGAAACGTTATATGAAATAAACGATATGAACTTTTTGACTGAGACCCAGAAGGGATAAGAATATAGTAACTCTTACACGCAGTCAGGGAAATAAATCAAAATAAGGTTAAGTGTTGCGACAGTTTCGCTCAGGATGACTTGCGCAACCCTTCTAACTGGTCAAAATTACTCCTAGTAGGTCACAAGTCAGTGACGCACAAGTCATGCTTATCTAATCCCCTTCCTCCCTTTAATGTCTGTAAAACATGTTGCGTTTTGCGATTGATTTTTTACCGCCTCCACACCCCAAGCCCGTCCCACTGCCGACTCACTCTCTGGTTGTTCTGGGGGTTGCTGAAAAAGTACGTGGGCGACGTCAACCATCTGGCCTTGATCATATCGGCCCCTTTTTCCCCGATCATGATCGCTGGTGCGTTCGTGTTGCCAGTGGTCACCTTGGGCATGATGCTCGTATCGATCACCCTCAATCTGTCCACCCCATGGATCTGAAAAGTGCAATTTTCGCTTTTGATAAATGTTCGTATTCTAGGCAGAGTGGTTGGGGTCGAGTAGCGCAAAGGTGTAAAACTCGAACGTAGCCACCCGGCAATCTGGCTGGCCGCCCATTGAACTCGATGTGCGCGAGTGAGAGCGCCGATGCCGAGCTGCGTTCCCGAATGGAACGTCGGTTTTGTTCAATTCGGTGTTTCTTTGACTGCTGATTTTTTTTTTGTGATGTATGATGGGGGAGTTAGTAGGGAGTATGAATGAGGTTTACCCTTAGTTGGGCATCCACAACAGCCATGGGGTCATCTTTGGGCCCCATTTTGCAACTGCCGGCCTGATGGTTCTCCGGTCCCGTTTGCCTCTTAACCGCACATTCCCAGTAGTTGTCCGACCCGAAAGTGAGCCCTTCGCAGCCCGCCACTGGCGTTTTATCCAGCTGGAATCCGTACCTTCTTAGCGCTGCAATGGATGTGATTAATTTCGTTTTGGCGCACCGCCAAAATGTCGACTGCACCTTTGGTTTCGGCCAATCGCAGCGCAAATCGAATCCCCTCCACTAACACCTTGACGTCATCGGGATGCGTGAAGTAATTGGCGAAAATGAGCGGGTGGCTGCGAGGGTTCCGGTCCTTCAGCCTGAGTTCGCCCCTGGACTTGGGATGCAACACGGTGGGGATGATGTTGATTTGCCTGGATCCGTTATCGACTCGTTCTCCCACCATTCCAGTCCGGGCGCAGTTTGCCAGAAAACCGCCGAAGAAAAACTGCAGATCCGGATGGTCCAAGTTCGGGTCGTTGTACTTGCTGTTGATGAAGCCGGTCACTTCGGAAATTCCTGCAGAGTTGCAAGTGCAGGAAAAGCGGAACGCTGGCAACGTGTCTCCCAGCGACTTACCGGTGCCGCTCATCAGGCCGTCCCTGAACAGCAGGTACTCCATGGCGGTTGCCCAGTTCAAGGGGGCGGTGTTGGTGTCGTTGATGTGGAAGTTCACAAAGTAGGCCACGTGGTTCTGCAGGTTTTTGCCCACGCCGGGCAAATCGTGCACCAGAGGCACCTTCACCTGATCCAGCTCCTTCCTGGGCCCGATCCCGGAGAGCAGCAGGATCTGGGGAGAGTTCACGGCGCCTGCAAAGCACCCCACCATTTTCCTCCAAATCATCAGCTGGCGCTCCCTCACTCACCTCCAGAGACGATCACCTCCTTGGTCGAGTAGATGTTCACCAGGTTGCCGTCTCTGAGCAGCTCCACCCCATAGGCTTGCTTGGTCTGGGGCGACACCAGCACTTTGGTCACAGTGGCGTTCATCACGATGTCCAGGTTCTTCCTGTTCTTAAAGGGGCGCACAAAGGCCCTGGACGCGCTCAGCCTGGACCCGTTCCTATTGGTGGTTTGGGCGATTTGGAAGCCCGTGTGGTAGATGCCGTTCACGTCTCTGATTGGATGGCCTGAAATTGTCCAGTGCAGCGCATTTTGCTTTCTACGAAGCGGTGCATTCCGTACCCAACTCCTCGGCCGCCTTGATGATCGCTCTGGATAGGGGCGGGTGATAGGGGAATTGGGACACTTGGAGGAGGCCCCCTTCGGAGTGGTACCCCCTGTCCATTTTGTCCACTTGCTTGTTGTCCTCGCTTTTCAGGAAATAGGGCAGGACGTCGTTGTAGCTCCA